GCCCCCGCACGGCCCACGCCGCCCGCCGCCCGCGCCGCACCCCCGCGCGGGCTCCCGCTACCTGCACTGCCACAGAAGCGGCGCCTCACTCCGCTGCCACTTCCGCCTTCCACAGACCGCACTCGGGCCGGGTCACGTGACCGCGCGCGGTCACCTGACCCGGAAGAGGCTGGCCGGGCTCCCAGGTGCGGGCTACCAAGGCCAGGTCTGGCAGCGTTGCCCGGGAAGGACGCCTTGGTGCTGTGCTCGCGGGCGCGGCGGTCTCTCGCTGGCTGGATCATCTCCGGGCGATCGGAGAAGCGCACTGGGTGCCAGGCTCATTATTTGCTCTGCTTGTCGCCCCTCTGGGGCAGGTACAATTTACTTTTTTGGTGTTGCTAGCTAGGGTCTCACTGGGTAGTGCAGGCCGGCTTTGAACTCACTGTGTACCCCAGGCTAGCCTCGAATTTGCACGCCAGGGCTTGCAGGCATGAACCACCACGCCCAATTCTGGGGCAAGTAGTTATTAACAAGTGAAAGACGGGGCCGCGGAGTTAGCTCAGTAGAATAAGTGCTTGCCTGGCAAGCGCAAGGCCCTGAGTTCAATCCCCGGTTCTGAAAGGAAAAAAAAAGTGAAAGAAAATTGTCTAATCGTCAATTCAGTAAGTATTTGCTTTTTAATGAGGTTCTCTGATGAAATGCAGGATGCCCACTGACATGAGTAAGAGATAAATGGTTGTATCAAGTGAGTTAGAGGCCAGTCTGGGCCAGTCTGGGAATCAAGGCCAGCCTAAACTACGTAGCATGACCCTGTCTCAAAAAAAAAAAAAAAGCATCTAAAGCACCTGCTTAGGCAGATGCAGGGTCTCCTGTTGTGCCCCCCCACACACACACTGAGACTGCGATTGAGACTGGGCATGGTGGCTAATCTCAGTGCTTGGGAAGCAGAAAACAGGAGCATCACTATGAGTCCGAGCTGCATAGTGAGACCCTGGAGACCCTGTACCAAATACGTTAATAAAAAAAAGAAAAAAAACCCTATCAGGGTCAATAAAATGCCATACCACGTCTAACAAACTCTTATGAATTCTTTGCAGATTACATAGAGTTTGATGAATTAGCAGAAAACTTTGTTGGAAAAAATGGGAAGGAGTTACCAGGAACTAAACGTAGAGCGTTGATCCTGAGCTACTGTTGTAGGCAGCTGAGTTAGAAATATTATAGGCAAACAGGGCTAGACAGGCAAAGGACCCTATATGGAAGACGACACCTTGCAACTGTGGGAGAGACCTCAAGACAATAGAGTAAACAAATACAGCCACATACCTACCTAGGGATGAGCATCAGGGATTGATATTTATTTGCGGTACTGGGGGTTGAACTCAGGACTTTACGCTTGCCAGGCAAACGCTTGTTTTACTGAGCTATCTCTCTAGCCCTTGATATTCTAAATAGGTATCAGTCACCCTAAGAACGCCAGGAAGAGTCACTAACCCAACCCCTCACAGGAAAAGTTCCTGTTGTGTATTTATGCTCACTTGCTAAGTTTGTCGCTTCCCTGTTTGACCCCAATTTAATCAATTATACCCAAGCAATTGTGCTTGTAATCTTATTGGTTGGCCATAGTTTTGTCCCACCTCATGCCCATCAAGTGAGTGCCCATGTTTTCCACCTTAGAGCTACCTCACCTAGTGGTTTTGCTCTAAAAAAATCCCTAGAAAAGGCAGGTTCCTTGGAAGCCCACTTGGGTCCCCTTATGGCCCTCTTCTGCTCTTAACTTCCGTTGTTCCTAAAATTCGTTCTTCAGTTTTAGAGAACACGAACTCTTCCCAGATTATCTTTCAGCT